CGTCTTACACCCACGTCTTCCCCCTGTACACCCGAAGACCACCCCTGCGCCTCACTGTAGTCCAAGCCCAACCAGCTATGGAGGCTGGGCTATGGGGCTGCCCTCAACAGCGCCTTGCTCCCTGCACGACCGCACGCGTTAGCACCTCGCCTCTCAGTGCCAGCAGCAGCCCACGAGCGTCCGCCCCAGCAGCACTGCCGCTAGCATGCGAGTGCCTGAATGAGAGGCCAGGCAGTGAGCTCTTTCCTATATGGAAAAGAGATGGCCTGCCTTTGCAGCCTGGCTGCCCTGGGCCGGGGCCCAGAAGCTTCCGGTAGGCCCCAGGATGCTGCGGCTCTGGTGCAGCTACTGGGCCTCATTCGGTTGGGCCTCCCAACTGTCTGTGTATGAGGCTGCGAATCTTGCCCAGGGCCTGCGCTTTTGGAAAAGCCTAGAAGGCCTGGCAATTTTTTCTCGCTGCTCGCCCTGTGTTTCCTTCAACCAACTGGCGCGACGAAACTGCCTGGACCCCAAATGCGAAATTGACTGCCGAGGGCTTGGCCCACCTTCACTTAGGGCGGGCGCAGATGCAACAGGGGCCCCCTTAGGCCTGCCGAGGACCCAGATCCTCGCACCAGGGTGTTCTAGAGGCCAAGGACTAGACCGACAGTGATCGGTGGCAGTGGCAGCCGGTGGTTGTCCTGACAGGATAGGCCACCTTCCCTACCCTTCCCCATCTTAAATACTCCCAGCGCATCCCCTATCCCTACTATCCTACCTCAGTGTGACCAGCACTCAGGACCATCACCCTACCAGTATCGAGGGCGACTTGGACCTGACAGCAGTGGGGCCGTAGCGCATCCAATCTGGGGGGTCTTACCGTCTTTGTTTTTGGGCTAGGAGGCCTCCACGCAGGCTGTCGAGGACTCCTGGCCCAAAAGAAATCAGACCGGGTCTGGTAGGCCTGCCAAAAAGTCTTGAAAAGGGCGGCCTATTTGGACCGCTGATCTCAAGAGATCGGCAGCCCAGATAGGCCGCCCTTTTCAAAGTTTTTGGGTGGGAAGTACCGTCCCTACCCTGCCACTAACACCCCCATCCCCTTTTTCAAAGTTTTTGGGCAGAAGGTTAACGTTTGCAGAAAGCCAGGTACGTTGTTGTCAATGTCGGCTGAAACCCGTGCTTGCTGAAACCCCACCACTAACACCCTAACCATAAACCTCCCAACCCCCAACCCCCAACCCCTGACCGCCAACCCCCGACCCCCACCCCCCTAAACGAAACTTCTCTGTTCAAAGTTTTCTTTGCGGATTGGGTGAGATCTTGGCGAGCCCAGTCCAAACACATTTAAAATATATATATGTATCATCGTCGACGACATGCACAACATCGCCACTTGGCCAGGGATCAGCGGCCTGCTTCTGTGTCTACCCCAATTCTCTTTGTGCCTCCTCCACGGGTTGTTGCGGTTCCGTTGTCCCAAACGGATACATCCGCTCCTATGCCTCCTGT